GGTATGGTTATTGTGCTTGCCACATAAAAGTAAACAATTGAAAATTGTTGAAATCGCACTAAAATTACGGCCGCTTTTCATATAACGGTAAATTTCAGAAATGCTTGAAATTTCAATATTTTGAAATTTAAGGACGCTAGTTTACTTAAAATTTATACACGCCGGCTTATCATGTAGCGGTAGCTTTCGGAAAGGTGGAAAATATATATTTAATATTTGCGCCGGGTATTTAATGTTCGGCTCCGCCCGAACTTAGACTTTCTTACTTGTTAAATCTGTTAATAAGTTTACAGTATATTTTGCTTGGCTGCCTTTAAGTACCGTTGCCAGACGTACTGATTTCATCAGTACAGTACTGATTTTTCAACTCTTGTACTGATTTTATTCATTTCTTCAATCAGTACGCTAATGTCCTGATTTTTAAAAATTTGCACTGATTTGTACTGAGTTTTCAATTCAAACAAAACACTTTAAGATTTTCTGACGGTTTTTACATAACGGTGGAACTTCCTTAAACTGTACTGTAGTTGACATGCTTCAGATAATATTTGATGTGCCAAAGAAATTAATACAACAAAAAGATCAATCATTTTATGGACATATCGCCGGGTCATTTACGTGCCAGTTACGATAATGTGATGAGCTTAAATTATTTAAAAAGAAAGCTGACGATTTTTTGTCGAGTGTTGCTAGTTATCTCGAAAATAACTTTCAGTTTAATAACAAAAAATTTTAATATTCGAATTGCTTTTGCCTATAACGTACAATTCTTTTTTCACAATTTACTGACATTGTAAACGAGTTTTGCATACAAGACATAGAGTTAGATACTCTTTTCAGCGACTTTTTAGTCTTTCAAAGTTTTTGCGTAGTCGAAAAAAATAATTTAAGCTATGAGGAATTATATATGAAGTCCTTAAATAGTGGTACTTTTCCACATTTGAAAAAATATGTAATTTTGTTCAAACGAAGCAACTGAGAGGGTCTTAAATATAAAGTTTGTTTCCTGGCGCAAAGAGAGAAACCGGCTTCTAATTAAAACTTTTTAAAGTGAACTTCATATTAGAAGTAATTTTAAAATTAAATGTATAGAATTCTTTGACTATTTAAACCCTGAAGATGGAAATTATCTCATTATTGCTATTCAAAAATGTCATACATATAAAAAAATTTATTGGTTCATGTTAAAATGAATAACACCTTTATTTTTTATGAACTATATTTTATTTATACACCAAAATATTGTTAAAAACAAGTACTCTGGCGGTTTCAAGTATTATCTCTTACTTATATTCATAATTTTGCTTTGAATAAAACTGTACTGCAAAGTAATGATTTTTTTGGCATGAAGAAGTATAACGTATTGATTTCGCACGTAAAAAATCTGGCAACCCTACCTTTATGCTTAAGTGCACATCTAAGATGCCTACCGCAAAATGGGCATCAACGGCATTATTTTTAACATTTATAAGGAAACTGCTCCAATAGATGCATTCAACATATCTGCACATTAGCGATACCTGCCTTAAAAATTTGCAACTGTTATCAATTATCAAAGAAATTGTTACGTTTACCTACACTGGCTCCCAATTTTACAAGCTTTTATTTATTTTTCTCATCTCGAAGAACAACGAAAACGGCTATCATTTCATGTAGTTATATAGATAATTAGATACCATTCGGAAAAACATTCCGCTTGCAGTAATTTCTACGTGGTAAGTGCTCCTCCATTATTTGGTTTTATAGGGATTCGGATACCTTCCTAATTGGAATACTAAAGAAAATTCCCTTAAGTGTTTTTTCGGTTAAGCGCACAAGTTTTTCTTGCAAAGAAGGATGGGCAGCTAAGAAAAATATACTGTAATTGAAATGAGATAAATTATCATAAATCAAGAACAAAATTAAGAAAAACCCGACTTGTAACTTGTAACTGTTGATGGAATTTATAAAAACAATGCCCAAAAAGTATGCAGCCATTTATTTTGAAATCAATTACAAACCGCACATTCCTACGTACACATGCTAATGAAATGTATATAGAAATCGTGAAATCAAGGCTGAAAGCCCTTGATTTAAGTGGAGTAATTTGATCGAAACTAAGGTTATTTATGTGAAAATAGTATCAAAGAAAAAATTTCCCCATTTGAAATAATTGAGCATCTCACAGATTTTCCCATAGTCAATTTATAAAGTCTTTTTAAGATTTGTTAATAAATATCTCAGTATTTCTACAAATTGTTGCTGACTTTAACAAATGCTTTAAAAATAGGGTATTCCCTTAAAGGTCAGTATGCAGCTCTCCAGAAAAGCGAAAACTCCATATAAAATGACGTACAAGAAATGGCTAAGAAATTTTCTTGAGGCAGTACGCAGTTCTTAAGAAATTTGCTACGCTTTCTATTACGGTGTTCTAAAGTTTTTTTGTGAAAAAAGAGCACAAGGCAACCCATGCTTGCAACAGAAATATATGCCCGTTTCAATATTTCTTGAGGAAAGAGTGAGGCAACCGGCTGTGAAGTATCAAAAATGTCAAAATTC